AGCTATCATTTCACTTCAAACCATGTTTGTCTTCAACAGGAGATTCTAGCTCGGGCGAGACAATAAGACTCAAAAGATTAGTGGACATGGGTATAAAGAATAGATGGTTTGCAGACATTGGAATATTGGTGGACATGGGTGCAAACAATATAGGGTTTACGGACATTTTATTATTGAATGGATGAATGGACAAGTTAAAATGTTTCGTTATAATAATGTAATTGTTATTTGAACGGGCTGTAAGAGTGAATGATTGTTTGATTCCTCAAATTTTTTAATATAAATGTGTTGCACCAATTTTTGATGTGGAATATTTCTGTTGTAGTAACCAAATAAATCAGTGTTACAATATTGCACAATTTGTTATGCTATCCTTTAAGCGTGTAGCGATGACCCATATTTTGTTGCGATATGGTTTAAGCCTATAGCGACGGGTTACATGTTGATGCCATAACCTATAAGCATATAACGACGCCTCATACTTCGTTGCGATACCCTCTAAACGTATAGGTATAGCGAAGGCTTACCTCGTTGGGATATCCTTTAAGCGTATAGCGACGAGTCATACTTCGTTGCGATATCCATTAAGCGTATAGTGATGATTTACTTTGTTGGGATATCCTTTAAGCGTATAGCGATGACTCATACTTCGTTACGATATTCTGTAAGCGTATAGCTATGAGTCCTACATCGTTGCGATATCCTTCAAGCATATTGCTACACCATACGTGTTATTGCCACCTGCAAATATCGTTGGAGTATAGAGGATTGCAACAAAACTGTAGCGTTGTTATAATGCTTGTTTACATATCTATCAAACGTTGTTGCAACAACAAATATATCAACATCAATTATCACCCATGCAACGCCAATTATCGTTGCTTCTTCAACCCATTGCCACGCTACGTCTCGTTGCAACACACCAATTTTATGGCAAGGCATTACACACTCGATGCAATAGGATATTGCATCGGATCGGTAATTGCAATGTCTCGCAATGAAAATATTACATTGCGAGTTCTCCATATTGCAACGAAAATACCCTTATTGCAATGTTTTCGCGTCGTTGTGCTTGGGCAAAATCCTTGTAGTGTCCACCACCACCACCGAGGCCTCCATTCATGCATTCGTCTCTCGCTCACGATTTCTTGAGCACATGCTGCCCAGTTATCTTCTGCTTCGTATGCGCACGCAGCTTCTTCCGCTCCTGCTGCCTGGGCCATTCCAACAAACATCACCCAGGACGTCGTCTATCAATTGTTGAGGTAAAAGTTGAGGGATTTTTTGCAAAGCTGGGTGCTTTCTGCTTTGCACCAAAATTCTCTCTTTTCGTTATGCTCTAGATTTTCTTCTTACGCTGCACCCATGAACAAAATTTCCTAGTGCACTTTACATTACATCCCGAAGCCTCGACCTAACAAAATTCTCTCATTACAAAATTTCCTAATGAAAGTGAACATATCAAATCAATTTGCAAACATAATATAAACTCCGAAGCCTCGACCTAAGAATACAGAGGATATTGTTGATACGGAGGAGAATCCTCCCCAGGAAAGTGTACTTAGGATTATATATTAACGTAGAGGAATACCCGTACTGAACTGTCACCATCAGCGGCCCACCTCTACTATCCCACCATATAACCTCAATTAATTGTATCCAATAATCTAAGCATCGCGCTTACATTACTAAATACTACTCTACATCCATGCATCCAATATCGAGCAACCGAATACTCAAACATTAAACCCACACCATTGCACCTCTCTGGTAAGCTAGCTACACAACTATATCGGTACAAATATAAAGTAAAGTCGGTACTGAGATAATATAAATGAAATAAAATACCAAAGATGTATAAAGAAGAATATTCTATTAATTCAATAAGTCTTATAAAAGAAGAGAGAAAAGCTACTAGAGCATTCTTCTAAAGACCCAAGGACTAAGAATACTATTCTAATTCCTACTCCACTAGCACTAGAATACTACTAAACTTGAGAAAGAGCTCTTTGATCTTCTTCTTGAGTGTGTGGAGAATGGAATGAGAGGAGGGGTATTTATAGGCCATGAGGTGCCTTGGGAGTGTGGAGATGCTCAAGGTATCCATTGAGCATATTCCCTCTTGCTTCACCTCCTTGTGCCAAGTGTCATGACGGTTGCTTCGGGTAGAAACGGTCACAACCGCCATGGGATGTCGATAACTACCGACCTGTGGATTTTCTGGGCCATTTGAGCTATTTTGGGTTCGGCCGAACCCTGGACTGACCCAATTGGCCCACTTTTGGCAGGTGTATATCCCGGTGGATCCTCAGCTTAGTGGTGTGAATTTTGGGCTTGTTTGCTTGTGTTAATTCTATGTTATGAGCCCATCTATCGACAAGTCTGCTTCTCGATAGCAATCCGATTTGCTGATCATTTATTTTACTATCGATTCTCCTCCATTTATATGTGCTTCTCCTGCATAGATGTTAGTAGCATAGTATATAGTGGAAGTAGATATTTTATTTGGAAATTGTGCATCGCAAGTATAGCTAGTCTTTATTAATTGAGTAATATTGATGGTTGAAATTGGTCAATAATGACCGTCAACACAAGTCCTATGAGAAGCAGTCGAAGCCCGTATCACTCAAATTAATCTAAACATACAACCTACAAAAAGTGGGATATTCGAGTATAACAAGAGTCAGTACATTATTTTTTCTTAACAAACTACATGTAAGGCATATATTCAAAGGAGGGCAATATGTAGTTCAATTTCAGCATAAAGCAAGTTTTGGTTCACAATTCTTTTGTAAAGGAGTTGATGATTAAATAAACAAAATAAATTTGTAAATTCATCATAATTAACATCATATCATCATAAACATACCCTTGTTGCCTTCCTTGACAACAAGTCATATAATCATCATCACATTCACACAACTCAACACAAATCATCCTTTTCAAACCTCAGTTTTATAAACATAATTTAAAACAATGAGTCTATACTCATGTGACCTCACCAAAGCGCTCATGACCATGAGCACGGCTAATCGATTAGTTTTTAGAACTCTGCAGAGTTTGTACAGCTTTACTCACATGATGTGATTACTCTAGTTTATCCGGTATCCGTCGGTACCACTACACTCTTCACATTGAGTGTGGTCTAGAGGTCACAACGAAGCCTTTACATTACCTAATGCCTAGCCTTGCATCAGCGACGGCAAGTGTGGCTCCATCCTAGGCATATCACATAGAAACGTTAGGTGGCAGGCCCAGGCCTTAAACCTAACGCCGTGGCAGTGAACACATTTGTTTCCCTCACGAGGCACTATATCATTGAATTGGATAGACTGAGACACCCATGCCATGAGGATTGACAAACCGTCCCCTCATGGAACACACACGTAGGGAATAAATCATCCTATAATCGAACACACAAAAATGGGTAGTTCCAATGAATCATCGCTAAGACTAATTCATTCTACTCCGGCCTCCATATGCAAGGCTAGACATTAAATAACTTAATTGGCCAAGGTCAGCCCATAAATAACACATGTGGATGTATGGTTAACTTTAAGTTTGTGACACAAGTTCTGTCCTTAGGTAACTTGGGCAAACACTCCCCCTATCGGTGTGCAACTACCACCATATGCACACCACTTGCCGCCCAACTCTAAAACCTCATTTTCACACCTTTAATTCGCAAATAAGTAAATATTCCCAAATCTGTCTAGCAGTGAAATTATGCCCAAAATTTCATTTAAAAAGTGATCATAATGTTATTTGGCATATTGTACGCATGGCTAAGCATATAGTAGCATATTAAGCATTTATAGCCCCAAATGAGCACAAGTGATGTACTCTAACCATTCCTAAGTATACAAATGGAGAGGTGTATAATAATTCAAGGGAGTTTATGCAGCAAGTTAGAAATAATTACCATTTCCCAAGTTTTCAAATATTGGTTTAATAAAATATAAATGCAACTTTGCAAACAACACTTTTCATCTCCCAAAACATGGGTTTCAATGTGATCAAATAGGAGGGGAGGAAAAACTTGCCTTACTCTTGAGCAATTAGATAGCATTTTAGTTCACTCTTTCACCGTCAACGCAATAATCTATACAAATAATACGGTATGCAAATAAGTACTGAAATATGCTAAAAATCAAAATGCTCTAAAATTCATGAGTTTTCTACCATGAATAGGTGCTGTGTGGGTAGGATTCTGGTGAAAGAATTTCTATTTTACTACTTTGCATTTGTGAGTAATTAATTTTCAAAGTTTAATACTATCACTAGGTTAATTAAGCTCTATTAGACCTTAGGTGCATTTTAGGTCCAAGTCTTGTGTTGGCTTTCCGTAGTGAAGGATAGGTTCTCAGGAGTTCAACAAAATTGGTTTCACTATTTTTAGAGCTAGCATGATTTTCCTATGAATTTTATAAGTTGCTTGGCACATTATAGACCATATTAGTTATTTTAAATTTAAAAAATGTTTTGGTTATAATTTCATCTAGAGATTAGTCTATAGATCTAAAGTGCATACTTTTTTGAAATTAACAAATTTTAGTTTTGCCCATTTAGAGTTAAAATGAATTACTTATGGATTTTGTAGTTTCTAATTTCATTATACTAGTTATTTTACTAAATAAACATTTGGTGATGTTTTTATTACAGAATGTGTGAAGTTTTAGTATGGGAATTAAGAGTATGGTTTTGTGAGCACACTGGAATTTTGTTTACTCCAAAAGGAGTTACGGTGAATTTTATAATTTGGAAGTTGCTCTATGTTCATTGTTAATTACATGAATTTTTAGGGCTATTTCTTCTGCCGTAAGTGCCACGTTTTATGTTTCTAAATTAAAGATCATATATTCGTAAGTCCATAGAAATTTAGTTCGTCCAGATTGGAGTTAAAATGAATTTTATATGTATTTTACAAGTTTGTGCATTTCTCGATCTGTTGAACAAAATTAGTTTGATTATATTTTTTATTATTTCCAGATTTTAAAAGGATGGGGTCCACATGGCAGTGAGAGCAAATATGCAGAAAAGTACCAAGGGTTTCTAGGGATAGGTCCTGAGGTCCCTAGCACATGTTTAAATGAAATTTCATTAAGAGTATTTACATGTATATCCTTGGTCCACATGTCATCCTAAGTACTTTTACAGATAGAACCCTACATGATTTAAACTATTTCTAATCGCGGTCCTTGGTGCTTAATGAAGTGGGGTCCAACTGTCATTGGCTCAGGAGAGGAACAGCAGCAGCAGAGACAGAGCGGAGGCGGCCGGCGACCTTTGCGGCGGCGGTGACGGCGAACGACGGCGAGATAGCCGACGCGGACTAAACAGAAAAATGTAGAGTGGAAGATGGCGAAGCTGATGGTGGTGGTCTCGCGGGCTGCGGTGGTCGGAGTCAGCGGAAACGGTGGCGCAAGCGGAGGTGGTTCTCGGCATGCTAAGGCATGTCAAGCTCCGGCTCGTTTTCATGCGATGCGAATGGGTGCATGCATGTGTGGCTACGGGGCTCCTCCGCTCCTGGAGGCTTACTGAGGGTCGCACATGCGCCGGTGATGCTTGAATGGCGATGACGGCGTGAAGAATGTTCCGGCGGCGGCAAAAATCGGTATGGCGACGGCGATAGCTCCACCCGACCGTCGTTCCGAGGACGAGGAATCGAAGGGGAGAGCCAGCAGCCGGACTTGAGGAAGACGACGGCGATCTCGTGATTGGGAGCTCTTCAGCTTGATTCCTCCCGCGTGCTGCTTCCTTGCATCTTGGCGACAACGGTGGCGCGATGGCTTGGTCGGAGACGCACCGGATCGCCGAGAACAGCGACACGACGAGCGGCGGCGCTCTGGACACCGAGGGCGACGACGAGCTCAGCGCAGGGTGTTCGACCCCAGAGAAGATTTGCAACGGATCAAACACCTTTGGCTGAGAAAATGAGGAGGATGTTCTAGGTGATTTTGAGAGATTTCTTGGTGAGTTCATGGTGGCGAGTTGGTTTGGTTAATGGTGAAAGTTGAGGTGGCAAGTGAGAGCTAGGTGTCAACTTGAGGCATGGACACGATTTAAGAGTGTTGGCCAGCTCTAGGGTGGTGCTACCTCTTCTACTTCTACCATGCTAGCTATAATGGCTGTCAAGTGGTCCATGGAGATATATCCTAGATGAAAGATGGGGTGGAGGGAATAATTTGGTGAGAAATGGATAATGGAACCATTTTATTCCTCTCACCCACCTCATGGCATTTAATCATATGAATAAACGAGAGGTCTGTGATGTGAATGACAAATGGGCCCTATGTAGTGATTTCCTAGTAGTGTATGAGAGGTAAGGTTAGATTTTGGGTGAAAATGAATTTAAATCCTTCTCTCTCTCCATTTGAGAAATAAAAGAAAAATAAAAGAGAGATGAGTAGATGATGTTTTGGCTGCGGCTGAGTTATAGATTTCCATGTGGGCCGCCCGGCACGGCACGGCCCAGGCCCGGCCGTGCCTGGGCCGAGGCTTGTCGGGCCGGCACGGCCCGACCGGCACACCGGGCCGTGCCGTGCCAGCCCACGTGCCGCACTCACGGCCCAGGCACGGCCCAACATGCCTCGGGCCGTGCCGGGCCGGCCCGAAGGCACGATGGGCCGTCGTGCTTTTCCTCAGAATAAGTCTAAATTTCATCCCTCCTATTGGGCTGTGACATATGTATAGCTACAGAAAGTCTATTTTACCTCCCTCTTCTTTGGGCTGTGGTCTATAAATAGCTAAATAAGTCTATTTAAGGTCCCTATTCTTTAGACAGTGACATTTATATGTCTATTTTTAGTCCCTATACTTTGTGTACCGGGCCTGGCCTGCCGGCCCATCATGCCGGGCCGGCCCGACCGTGCCGGGCCAGCCCAGCGTGCCGGTGAGGAGGCCCAGGCACGGCCCGACGGTCGGGCCGGGCCGGCACGGGCCCGACCCAAGTCGGGTCGTGCCGTGCTTGGGCCGGGCCAAAAAGGCGTGACGTGGGCCGGGCCTTCGGGCCTCGGGCCGTATGGCCAACTATAGGCTGAGTTATGTGTGGGTCCCACAATGGCTTGGTCTCACATGTAAGAAAGAGATGTAGAAGGAGAGACCTAGAAGCTCTAACTTTTCTGTGTTAAAACTATTCCAACATGTGGTTTAATTCTTCTTTCTCTTCTTCTTAATTAAAAATTTTGGGGAAACAAGGTTGTTGCCAGGTGGACAAGGATTTTATGGATCAATGTTTCACGTCCCAAGATTTTGTTACATTTTGAGTTACCATTGTAATTTAGCAAAGAGACGTAAGTTACTATGTTGACTGCAGTCAAAATATTGTTTAAGTAACTCGTGGCTCTCATTTCATGTGGTTACAGTTCGAATTTATTTAAGCCATAGCACTAGGTGATAGATTACATTATATTTAACATTCTGACCAAGTGGTTTAATTAGATGAGTTAAGGTTAAATTTTGGTGATGGTGCAAAGTAGGCTAAGTGATATGTTGTTTCCAGATTTCTAGCTGATTTGTTGGAATTGTTTGAGGTATCATTTGAAGTGTTAAATTAAAACTAAAACTATTGGGAGCTTAAGGTGTTGTGTAGTGTTTATGAGAATTTTGGTACGATTTATTGTTGCTTAATTTATTTTTAGAAATTTTCTTTATACATGACATACATATGAAACCTATTATGAGATGCACCAAGAATATCCAAAAACAAACCTAAAAATATATTATGCATGTGCAACCATTTTTATTTTGTTAGCATTAAGGTTTTAATAGTTTAAAACCTACCTTACCAATTATTCATTTACCAACTTAAATATTTTGGTTAGATCAAAATGTAATGCCGAGATGATTTAATGATTTAAAATTTAAGATCAAATTTGTTTTGTTTGGCTTGAAATCTTTTTAGAACCAGATTATATAAGTTTTATTTTAGGTTTATCTCAGGCTTGATCCAAAGAAACTATGTATTTTACTGTGTATAATAGAGTTAAGCTCTAAGATGAGCTAATGTTCTCAAATACTTTAGTTTTCAAAAAGATTTAAGTTTTCCTCAATTTTTTTCCTAGGTGAAATTTCTGGTATGTTTACACTAGTGCACCCATGAACAAAATAAATTTCTAGGTGAAGTACCATATATGTGCAGGTAAAGTTAATTCACAATGAAGTGTGGTGATATATCAGTTTTCATTTTCACTGTGCATTGGACTACTATTTGCTTATCTTGTAATTGTATCTCCTTTGTTAATGAAGTGTTCAATGTCCTTTGAACACTAATTTAAGCCCATTTAAATTTATTTTTTATTTTTTAGTTAATCAAAATATTTGAATACCATTATTGCCTGTCTGATAATTTGAACTTTTAGCTATCAACCATGTAAAACATTTTTCAGTCCCCTTTAACTCTCGGACTCAGACTACAAATCTCTTTGATTTCTATTTAGAACAGCATTTCTATCATATTACAAATCAGGACTTGTATAACCTTGCTAACATAGTATGAAACGCAGCAAAGCTCAGCAATAGAAGTATAGCATCAGTAAAACATCGGTATGAAATGTAGCAAAGCTCAGCAATAAATTAACATTTTTCGATATTGATGCCATGAATATTAGTTCGCTAGCCAAGTGACTCCAGCCTGTAGAGAATGTCGAATTACTGTCCTTTGCTGAGCTGATGCTGCTCAAGAACAAGGATTATGCTAGATGGGCAGGTGTTTTTTGGTGAATTTTTTTTAAAAAGTAATATGATTTTAATGGAAAATCGCAAAACTATAGGTCAGTTAGGCAAAATCGCAAATTTAGCACCGGTACCTATCGAACAACCACAGTTCGATAGGGTACCTGCCGACAGGTGATTAAAAAAATTAAAAAAGAGAAAAATCACTGTAGCACACTGTTCACAATACCCTATCAAACTTAGGCAGTTCGACATGTGCCTGCGAGCACTGTAGCACCACTGTGGCGCGCTGTTCATGTGACCCTATCGAACTTGGGCTGTTCGATATGTCCCTGCCTAGCACTGTAGTGATACTATTCATGTGCTTTTTTATTTGTTTTTGACCACCTATCCTGTCAAACTGACGCAGTTCAACATGTTCCTGTCGAATTGTGGTTGTTCGATAGGTACCCCTGTCGAACCGCGGTTGTTCGACAGGGTGCTAAACTTGCGATTTTGCCTAACTGACCTATAGTTTTGTGATTTTCCATTAAAATCATATTACTTTTAAAAAAATTCTTTTTTGGTTATGGAGTTGGAAAAGTTAATGGACTACTGTTTGCTTATTTTGTAACTGTCTCTCCTTTGTTAATGAAGTACGTGAACACTAATTGAAGCCCATTCAAATTTATTTTTTATTTTAAGTGAAACGTCTTTTAACATAATTTTAAAGAACTGTTGATATCAAAATATTGGAGTACTATTATTGCCTGTCTGATAGTTTGAAGTTTGAACTATCAACCTTGTAAAACATTTTTCAGTTCCCTTCTAACTGTCAGATTTCATCTTTTAGTAGAGATGGGAAATCTGTTGCCCTGAAGAATAAACCAGTTTAGGGCTTTCAATCTTTACACGATAAACATTAGTTCGCTAGCCAAGTGACTCCAGCCTGTAGAGAATATCGAATGAGTGTCCTTTGCTGAATTGATGTTGCTATTTTTTTTTTTTTTTGGTTATGGAGTTGGAAAAGTTAATATATTTTGTTTCTACAGAATTATTGCATCTTTTGTTGGTTATGATTTTCTTATGTTCAAGAACATCTCTTGGTTTTCAGCTCGATAACGTTCTAAGTGGACAACGCCGTGACGTGGTGGCAGCGTTGGTTGCTACAAATTTCTCAGAGGCTTGGCTTGCGAATCAATTTTGCACAATATGCAGGAAATCATTTTCGTCAAGCTGTTGCACTGATCATATGGGATGCCATCATCCCGGTATTGACGATGAAAATAATGAACATGTGATCGGGATTGAAAGGCATCCTGTGAATGGGTACATTTTGACGCTCCGTCACGGTGCTCTTGCTGATGTGATATTCGACCATATCCAGGTGTGCCTTATGTTCCTTACAAAGATTTTTATGTTTTTTTAAATAAAGATTTCTAACAAAGCTTAATTTGTAATTGTTTCAGACGTTGGATCTTGAAGGCCGGCTCCTGATCGCAATTCACAGATACAATCATGGGATAATTCGAGGCACGATGTGCCCATGCTCTCGTATCATTGCCCTTGGATTCCTGTACTTCTCCCTGGATTGCAAGATTTGTATGATAAATTTCTTATTATTCAAAGGACATGAACAAAATGAAAGTCAAATATCATTGTTGTGTTTCCAGGGTAATCATTTCTGGAAATGAAACTGGAGGAAAACCAAGGAGCTGAAGCTGGAAGTAAACCAAAGAGCTGAAGCTTGAGAAGACAAGGAAATAACAAACTTGAACAAGTTGAATAACTTTTATCAAGTCTTCTGTTCTGAATTGTTTCAGTTCTATGTTCTGGAAAACATAAAACTGTTTCTGTTAGAATCTATTTTGGAATTAGTTTGGAGACTTGTTATCTTTACCTTGGCTGTAAAAGGAGGCTTTTGCTTTTGTAATCAGTGCTGTCAACATAATGGGATGGAACTGACCACAAACTGGCAAGTCTAGGTAGGTTAAGTAGTTTGTGGAGGTTGAAAATTTGATAGTTCCTGTAAAGTGTAAAGCTGTTTCCATTGATTGTTGTTCAAACAAACTGAGTAGCCGTTGTTTGTTTCTTTTTTATTTTGCTTAATTCCAAACGACAATTGTCTTGCTCCTTTTATAGAGGAGCCAGTGCTAAACAACTGCATCCTAATTAAGAGGAACCGGTGAGGGTGGACGCTGCTCCCTTCCCGTTCCTGTTTTTCTCTCCCTTTTTAATGAAACTGGAAAGGTGGCCCGCGCGTATGCGTGGGAAGGTAAGATTATTGTTTGTTCAGAAATTTTGTCTCATAGATTAAGGGCAAACTAAAGTTTGGATAATGTTATTTTATAATAATTTAAGGGTTCTATTTTTCTTAACGTATCTTAAAAAACCATTCACAAACTTAAGTAGGAGATGGATTAAGTACTTACGATT